TGTGTGGATGATCGATACCCGACCCCCTGCAGTACGAAGGGGTGTGGGAGTGGGTGGGGGTTTGGGGTGAGTGGGTGGTGGGTGGTGGGGTCGGGGTGGGGGGATGTCACGTTCAGAACTATAGGTCAGCAGGGTAGCAAGTAACAACGTGATGCTAATGGTGTTGGTCAGGAGATTATTCATGACTAGCCCGGGGACGCGGCGATTCGCTGTGCAGAGTTGCGTCCCTTGGGCACGCCAGAAACCTGTGATTTTGGATTCGAATCCCGGTTCGCCCCGATTATGTTTCTAGGTTTGTCAACACCATACCCGTGCTCATGGGTTTCACCGAAGTGGTACTGACACTAGAATACTGTTAAAAGCGGCGTTAAACCCAACTCACTCAGTCACTCACTCACTCATGAGTAGCCCAAACATATCACATGTGTTTATTGTTTTAATCGAAAACTTTGTGAGTAGAATATATAAAGTGTCATTGCAAGAGAATAACCAATCTAGATTATCTGCCGAAACAGGTTCCACTTGGCGTAAAGGGCGAAAAACGGTGAAATTTATGTGAATGATTGACGACTTCGAATGGGTAAATCAAATAATGATAAAACAACAACCGCCAAATAAGTTTTGTTTCACTTCACTCACATGTTAAACCCTCATGGTGCTGGGCACCAATAGGGTTAACATTGAAACTAGCATCATCCTTATAAGCGACAGCGACAAAACTAAAATGTACGTGTAAATATCTCTTGATATTTGACCTTCAGACAATCAATTGTCCTTCCCTTCTTCCTCCTTGCCTATTAGCCCTGACAATAAGTTAAACAGGAAGTACTATTGATCTGGCCTTAAGATGGAATAGACCCTCGGAATAAGGTCGATTTGAGGAAGAAAGTTTCAGACACCCAAGGCCATCAACTGCCATATTAGCGTCATCAAATACATCCGGGTACTATCGAGCTGTGTCAGTTAAGAGCAAGGTTCCTACAGATGAAATCTACGAAATCAAAATTTACTAACAAGAGATACAAAAACACGAACCACTGCAGTTTCAGTATATGCGACTTAATTCAATGGACAATTAATCAGCATTTAAGGAAGTGAGTTATACAAAGAACAGCAACACAACATGAATCTGGTTCCGACAAGAGCTGCTGGATTAAAGTGGTTACTTCCCTGTGCACAAAAGGGAAGCTCTAGTTATCACTAACATACAGTGGGTATTACGTTCCAGATAGGCACCAGTGTAGGATAGGGAGTGTATGAAGACACGTGTAGATATGTACTCACTGACTGCGCTTGGTGTATACTTGGTAGAAGAGTGAGTGAGTGAATATGGTTTTACGCCGCTTTTAGCAATATTCCAGTAATATCACGGCGGGAGACACCAGAAATGGGCTTCACTCATCACTCCTATGTGGGGAATCGAACCCGGGTCTTCGGTGTGTTGAGCGAACACTCTAACCACTTGGCTACCCCACCGCCCCTCTTGGTAGAAGAACCCACATGTCATCGTGAACTATTAGCTACATGGGCCGTGGATAAGGTATATTGTCCATTCAGAAAGCACACTACTGACGAAGAAAATAACTTCCGAGAGAGAACATGGAGCGGTGGGAGATGGCTTATGGCTGATGTGGTGTGGATTAGATCAAGAGACTGTATAATTCCACACAAACAGACACACACAGACACACACAGAGAAACACGCAGACACACATACACATACTCACGCGTCCGCACACAGACAGATACAGACACACAGAGGCGGACATACAGACACACAGACACACACATACACACTGAGACAGATACGCACACATGTGCGCGCACAGGCAGACACAGACACACACAGGCACACAGAGAGACGGGCACACAGTCACAGACAAACAAACATGCACAGACAGAAGATGAGTATATACATCTATTATACATTTAAACATACCCTTACCTAGTATTTGTATAGTTCTCATAAGTCAGCAAAGGCAACACACTTCTACAAATGTGACATCCCATATGGACACACACACACACACACACACACACACACACACACACACACACACACACACACACACACACACACACACACACACACTCACACATATACACACACATGTACAGACATAGCTACACACTCACACTCACACACAGCTACACACTCACACACATGTACAGACTCACACACGACGTACACACTCAAACACATGTACACACTCACACACAGCTACACACACACACACTCACAGACAAATACACACTCACACATATACACACGCCAACAAACAGGTACACACTTAAACACACATGTACACACTCACACAGTCACACACATGTACACACTCACACAGTCACACACATGTACACACTCACACAGTCACACACATGTACACACTCACACAGTCACACACATGTACACACTCACACACACATGTACACACTCACACAGTCACACACATGTACACACTCACACAGTCACACACATGTACACACTCACACACACACGCAGTCACACACATGTACACACTCACACAGTCACACACATGTACACACTCACACAGTCACACACATGTACACACTCACACAGTCACACACATGTACACACTCACACAGTCACACACATGTACACACTCACACACACATGTACACACTCACACAGTCACACACATGTACACACTCACACAGTCACACACATGTACACACTCACACACACACGCAGTCACACACATGTACACACTCACACAGTCACACACATGTACACACTCACACAGTCACACACATGTACACACTCACACAGTCACACACATGTACACACTCACACAGTCACACACATGTACACACTCACACACACATGTACACACTCACACAGTCACACACATGTACACACTCACACAGTCACACACATGTACACACTCACACACACATGTACACACACACGCAGTCACACACATGTACACACTCACACAGTCACACACATGTACACACTCACACAGTCACACACATGTACACACTCACACAGTCACACACATGTACACACACACGCAGTCACACACATGTACACACTCACACAGTCACACACATGTACACACTTAAACACACATGTACACACTCACACAGTCACACACATGTACACACTCACACAGTCACACACATGTACACACTCACACACACATGTACACACTCACACACACATGTACACACTCACACACACATGTACACACTCACACACGTGTACACACACAGCTACACACTCACACACATGTACACACTCACACACAGCTACAGACACACACTCACAAACAGGTACACACTCACACATATACACACGCCAACAAACATGTACACACTCACACACATGTACACACTTACACACATCTACACACAGACAGACAGACAGACAGACACACACACACACACATACACACACACACACACACACACTCTCACACACTAACACACATGGTTGTACCTCGTTATTTACTTACATTTGTCGGGTTATAAGGTGACCATGCTTGTCGTATGATGCGACTCTGGCTGTCGTATGAGGCGACTAACGAGATTGATCAGGTTGGCTGACTAGGTTGATGCATGTCATGGTGTCCCAATTGCGTAGATCAATCTGCATAATGTGAATCACTGGATTGTCTGGTCCAGGCCTGATTATTTATAGGGCGCCGTCATACAGCTGGAATATTGTTGTGTGCGGCGTTAGACAAACAAACAAACAAACAAACAAACACACAAATAAAGAAAATTTACATTTGTCTCGATTACTTTTCAGTTATTCAGTCGTTGTATTATTATTATCATCATCATCTTCATCATCATCATCATCATCATCATCATCATCATTATTATTATTATTATTATCCTAGAGGATACAATAAACGCATATTTATTAAATACTACTCAAAAGAAGATAAAGAACACTCAGTTATAACTATAATTAATATTTCATTTCATGTCATAACAGATTGGCCATAGTAGTATGAACAAATCGGATGTTGTTTAACTTCTTTTGAGCACAACATAATTGATTGCTAATAACACTGCTATTACTGGTTCAGGAGCCTGGCAAAATATCATATATATTCCCTGTGTCTATATACCAAACATACCTTCGTGACACAGTTGGACGTGACCGCCTGTGTGAACCATATTGACGAGACACGATGCTGTAACATGTGTCAACGTCAGCTCAGCGTGTCACACGATCTCGCGCATATCTACCTCACTGTATATGGCGGGACTCAGTGTGACATCCATTAGCTTTTGTTGTGCACAGCCTCGGGGCGGTCGATCGGACTCCTTATATGAAAGAACAAGGGATCAGAGATATTTCTAGCTTTGATAAATATAGCTCTTATTCATTCGGGATAATAGTAGTGACCATATATGTTTATATATACGCTCTTTAAAACATAGCAATATCATATGAATACAATATACTAAATAAAATGTCTAAAATGTAAAATGTCTAAAATTATATATCACTTGCCCTGCTTGAGAATGCAAAGAGAGGGTGTAAAACAACATATGCATGTGGCATATGTGTATAGTCGTCAGCTGGTGGTATGGATGGTATATGTTGTATATATAAACAGATAACAATGCTGAAATGCATGTATATAACAAGCATACCTAATAACTTTCAATGTAGACGTAGATACAAAATGTGCATTTAGATATAAATTTTACTTTATACACATATTTAATAAAAAACACAAACGTTATTGAGGTAAGGGCCGTCAAATGCAAACACGTTTGAATTTAAAGATGAACGAGGTCACGACAACACCCCTGCTTCTGTGTCTAACGTTCATGTCATGGGGAGGAGTCACCTGTTCTACCTGCTTTCCCCATCGTGCCCCTCCCTCCCCGAAAGACGCGCGCGCGCAGCTATTGTCACGCTCCACAGGCCTCTATACATGTAGCATGATATTGCCTTATAAGGAAGTTTTGTTGCTGGTTTCCGAGAACTGCTTTGATCGGCGCACATAAATACAGCTGTAGAGGATGTAGGGCCATTCAGTCTCGAGCCGGCGTGCTACAAGGAACTACACTTGCTCCTACACTTTTCTGTCAAAATGTGTGACGACGATGTTGCTGCGTTGGTTATCGACAACGGCTCCGGCATGTGTAAGGCCGGGTTCGCCGGTGACGACGCCCCAAGAGCTGTCTTCCCCTCCATCGTCGGTCGTCCCCGTCATCAGGTAATACACATCTGTCATCGTTTGATCAATAATGCTGACTCAGACATTGGGTCAACTTGACTGATTCTGATGGGTTTATCATTCAGTCAGTTTTGTATATGATAAATTTCTAAATATTTTTGTTATGTATGATTTATGATAAAAAATAATTTAAATCAACAGGATGGATATGCATGTATATTTGGATATTATTTCATATCGCTATATGGAATTACCACGAGAGTGTGAAAAATAGTTTCAAGACAAACATGTTTATAAAGGTTTAAGGTTAAAACATTCTTGGTCATGTTTTTATGTATCTTCATATCAATAGTATATTAATAAGCTTACAGCGTGGACTGAAATTTTAGTCGCTGTGTCATAGAATGTTACAACACCGGTTAATCGGTGACCATTACAAATGATATCTATAAATCGCTGTACAAACATGGTTACGATAACGATGCGATGTTTTATGACGTCAGTAGACCCCAAAAATATGCATATGAATGGTTATAGTTTACAATCGAACTATCACAGATAATTATTCATATATCACTACAATTCCATTTTCTTTCCAGGGTGTGATGGTCGGTATGGGACAGAAGGACAGCTACGTCGGTGACGAGGCTCAGTCAAAGAGAGGTATTCTCACCCTTAAGTACCCCATTGAGCACGGTATCGTCACCAACTGGGACGACATGGAGAAGATCTGGCATCACACCTTCTACAACGAGCTCCGTGTGGCTCCAGAGGAGCACCCAGTCCTCCTGACTGAGGCTCCACTCAACCCCAAGGCCAACCGTGAGAAGATGACACAGATCATGTTCGAGACCTTCAACTCTCCAGCTATGTATGTGGCCATCCAGGCTGTTCTGTCTCTGTACGCTTCTGGTCGTACGACGGGTATTGTTTTGGATTCTGGTGATGGTGTCACCCACACTGTTCCCATCTATGAAGGTTACGCCCTTCCCCACGCTATTCTCAGGTTGGACCTTGCTGGTCGTGATCTCACAGACTACCTCATGAAGATCCTCACTGAGCGTGGTTACTCTTTCACCACCACTGCCGAACGAGAAATCGTCAGGGACATCAAGGAGAAACTGGCCTATGTGGCTCTTGACTTCGAACAGGAAATGCAGACTGCTGCCTCTTCCTCTTCATTGGAGAAGAGCTACGAGCTTCCCGACGGTCAGGTCATCACCATTGGCAACGAGAGATTCCGTTGTCCAGAGGCCCTCTTCCAGCCATCCTTCTTGGGTATGGAATCTGCTGGTATCCACGAAACAACATACAACTCCATCATGAAGTGTGATGTTGATATTCGTAAAGACTTGTATGCCAACACTGTTCTCTCAGGAGGTACCACCATGTTCCCCGGTATCGCCGACAGAATGCAGAAGGAGATCACAGCCCTTGCTCCACCAACAATGAAGATCAAGATCATCGCTCCTCCAGAGAGAAAATACTCCGTCTGGATCGGTGGCTCCATCCTTGCATCTCTGTCCACCTTCCAGCAGATGTGGATCAGCAAGCAGGAGTACGATGAGTCTGGCCCATCCATTGTCCACAGAAAGTGTTTCTAGAGATGTTCAGATCTGCTGTTACTAGATCGTATTCATTTGGTGACAATGTGGAAGGGACCTGTATGGACACAAACGGGCAATATCGACAATGTTTGTGCAATCTCAGAACATATGTGATGGTGATGTCCGCATCAGTAAACCTTTCATGTACATTTTTGTTGTTTTGATGTTTTTTATCTTTTGAATAAATATTTATGATTATTTCATTTATTCTTGCATGTTCTGTTTTCAAGCTTCTCCCGATTGTTTGGGAGTGGGTGTTATGCCCATGTTGCACTTGAATCATGTTAACTTGCATCGTAATAGAATACTATCTGTCAATCTTAACTAGGCATGTGTGTCAGTGAATGCAATAATATTGACTCGCACTGTCAGCTAAATAATAAGAAAGTGAAACAGAAATATTTCTGTTTTCTGCTCAGCACCAGTCACTTCCCACTCGAAACCGCCAATGTGTGATTTTGCATCAAAATGTAAATATGAAATGTAGATTATGTTATGAATTTAATGAGATTGTCCAACACATTGTGAGTGGATGCCCAGCTTTGGCACAAACACAGTATCTTAGGCGACATTATGGAGTGGCTCGATCATTTTATTACCGTCTTTGCAATGCTTGTGGTTTTGACACAGAGGTCCATCCTTGGTACGACCCAGTATATGTAGAGGGCGTCATGGAAAATGATAAATACAAAAGTCTTTGGAATGGGCCCGTTTACACCTCAGACGTATCCAGGCAAACAAACCTGATCTTGTCCTTTTCGATAAATCCAGTGAAATTATTTATATCATTGAATTTTTTGTCCCTCTTGACACTAATGTGATTAACAAGATTCAGGAAAAACATGGCAAATATGCAGACCTCGCTTTCAAAATGTCACGCTTGAATCCCAAGTACCAAGTTGTCTGACTCCCCATTGTTCTCGGTGGCTTAGGTTTGGTACCTCCCAATCTGTTGAGTGACACTGGGAGAGTACACTGGTTTACTGCCAGGAATACAGCCTTTCTGACAATTTGTGTAATGCAGAAGGCTGCAGTTGAACGAGTTCGGGAGTCTTCACATTCTCCGAAAAGTTCTGGATGGGTTTGAGAAGTCCCATTTCGCTGTCTGGGCTGCGTGTAGAAGGGGCTAGGGCTCTGAGCAGATGGTAAGCCTAACCAGCCTGACTGTGCCAGGGTCACCTAAACCTTCTTTCCTGCACCTATATATTAATCTGTAAAATACTTTAATATACAATTATGTATTGCGCCACGTCCATGCCCAAATGCAGGATCACGGCACTACACTGATCAATGTGCACAACATAACATTCTCAGCTTCCCGGGGAGTATACACCCCAGACTGCCGTTTAGGCACGCGAGGTTGTTGAATCCACATGCTGGGTTAACAGGGTCATATTCAAGTCACTATCCTAAGGAGACACCACGCATCGTATGATGTTTTGTGGGAACGACTCGAGCAGAAACTTTTAGTCAGTAAGATCTCTGCTACCCGCGCAGTCAATTCCGGCGTCCATTGAAGTGTAGGCGTTTAAGTGTTACCCCTTCATCAGGTGACCTGAACCGCTCGGGTATTGACAATACAGGCAACAGGTGTGACTAACAGTGTGTGCAAGACAAGGTCTACATTAATCGGTGAGGGTAAGAGGTGAGGTGAAGTGGGGTTTAACGTCGCGTCCAAGATTATTGCACTTATATAGCGGCGTGCATTCACGTGTATGTGTGGCTGCTTGTACTAGTCCGGACTGATGCCGATTTATAGTGCTAGCTCACTGAGATACCATGCCACAGTTTAACATGAATACCCCACTCAGACACAGTATACTGACTCCGAACCGACCAGTCCTTGTTTTAGCCCCTTAATGCCGAGCGCCAGACAGGGTAACAACAAGTACCATCTTTTAACGTCTTTTGGTATGACGCGGCTGGGGATCGAACCCCGTACCGACTACCTTCCGCTCTCCGGGCGGACGCTCTCCCATGAGACCACGGAGGCGGTCGGTGAGAGTAAGAACGTCAGTCGGTTAATGCAATTTCATTTTCATTCGACCTACAGACATATTGTTCTATCGAAGAGTTATTATTTTTATCCAATATTGTAGCAATAGCACACATTTAGTGAGCCGGTCAGCGTTGACAGATAACCTGCTGGTTGGGGGTTCAAGTACCGCAGTTGCACAATGTTACGTACCATGCAGTGCTTGTGGAACACCAGGATCAGGTGGTTTTGATTGATGAAAGCCTTCATGTGACCTTATGGGGATTCCGGGTTAGAATTTGTGAACATTTGATAATTCATTTTATCTGACTAAAATTACATAGTTACATTCTTGCCTTGAACAATTGATATATACTTAACAAAGAAAATTTAAGGATCATGAATGATTTGTATATAGCATACACAAAGAAACTCAGTCTTCACAACAAAAAAAGTATTTCCAAAAATATTTATGATCCCCAACTCTTTTGTTCAGTTTATGAAGGCAGGTATGGAGATAGCTCTTCCCGGGTAAACCTGCCTTGAGAAATAAGAACGTCCAACGTACACAGATACCAACAGCTGAAGCACTGCAGATGGCCTGTCGTCAATTGTAATATATGATAATCAAGTACCAAAATTCGTGACCAACTCGTGATATTCCGTGACAAGCCGAATAGCGACTCGTGCCCGACACGTGGTCATTCTTGCGACTGGGTTCCGTCTATACGCAAATAGGCATAGCTAAAACAATTGTCAAGTCGTTGCGTAATGATTCACGTATATTTCCCCATTATATCATATATATTCCAGGTGCTATTGAAATCACACCAGGACGTACTGTATTATACAGTATGAACATATTAAAATGTATCTTGGGTATATTTTGTGTAAATCAAAAATTATTCCTCAGGGATTGTTTGACCTAAGTACTTGAAGTCATATGCGCATTCTGATTTGTTTGTCGTATTTTCGCAAATAACATTCATCGACAGGGGGGGCGAGTCTTATTGCAGGTTACGGAAAGGGGTGTGGTAACGAATGGTACCAACACTCATATAGATGGGAGTACAGTAAACTACGGTTATAGCGAACACGCTTATAACGAACTGACGGATATAATCAACTTACTTTTTTGGTCCCGACTATTTGCTGTAGTTATGCTGTATATATGCTTATAACGAACTACGGTTATAACGAACTAAAATTAGTAGTCCCTTTGAGTTCGTTATAACCGTACTTTACTGTATATAAACAAGTTTACTTGTTACAAATAAATCTGATGGAACCCCATCCTAAACAAATACATATGGCGTAAATAAACTGCAGGGATTATAACCATGTCAAGTTGTACACCTACTCCGAGTCATCAGTAAAACATGATTAACTTGAACGAGTTTCAGTTTCCATCTTAATGAGTGTTGTGTGGAACTGACATTGCCCAGCGTTAAGCTGTGGTGAGTTCGGGAAGGAAATATACATCACGACGTTTCCTTGACACGCATATTGCTGCCTGAAACTTGACACAGCAGGGTGGAGCAGGTCAGCGTTGACAGCTACACCGGCTTGATGGGGGTTCAAGTACCGCTGTTGCACAATGCTACCATGCAGTGCTTGTAGAACACCAGGATCAGGTGGTTTTGATTGATGAAAGCCTTCATGTGACCTCGTGGGATTCCGGGTTGGAGGTGGTCCTCAGCAACCTATGCTTGTCTTAAGAGGCTGTACATGGATCGGATGGACAGACTCGGTGACTTGGTTGATTGCGAGTCATCGTACCCCGGCGATGTGGGACGTTGCACATAACATAAGTCGTCGGGGTGGGACGTTGCACATAACATAAGTCGACGGGGTGGGACGTTGCACATAACATAAGTCGTCGGGGTGGGACGTTGCACATAACATAAGTCGTCGGGGTGGGACGTTGCACATAACATAAGTCGTCGGGTGGGACGTTGCACATAACATAAGTCGTCGGGGTGGGACGTTGCACATAACATAAGTCGTCGGGGTGGGACGTTGCACATAACATAAGTCGTCGGGGTGGGACGTTGCACATAACATAAGTCGTCGGGTGGGACGTTGCACATAACATAAGTCGTCGGGGTGGGACGTTGCACATAACATAAGTCGTCGGGGTGGGACGTTGCACATAACATAAGTCGTCGGGGTGGGACGTTGCACATAACATAAGTCACTGACTCTTGTGCTTCTGACTCGGCTACCGTCATATTGCTGGTGGGGTAGCCTAGCGATGGCCCGGTATCGATTCCCGACATGAGTACAATGTGTAAAGCCCATTTCTGGTGCCCCCCGCCGTGATATTGCTGCACTATTGCTAAATGCGGCGTAAAACAATACTCACTCACGCACTCATATTGCTGGAATTTTAAACATTACCAAACAAACAACACATGTGACACACCATCCTCATTTCAGAGGGTATCATATATTTAGCTTATCCGTGTCTGACAGGATTGCAACGTTTGTACTGTTTGCACTGCCACTACTACTACTACTACTACTACTACTACTACTACTACTACTACTACTACTAGTCCGGACTAGTACAGGACCACCTCCGAGGACTAGTGGTAGAGCGTCCCCCCGGAGAGCGGAAGGTCCGGGCTTCGATCCCCGGCCGCGTCATACCAAAAGACGTTAAAAGATGGTACTTGTTGTTACCCTGTCTGGCGCTCGGCATTAGGGGCTAAAACAAGGACTGGTCGGCTCGGAGTCAGTATACTGTGTCTGAGTGGGGT